CTCCTGACAATGCCTAGTACTGTCCAGCAGTGCAGTCCCAACTTCTCCCAGGAAGAATGTTTCACGGACACAAACTGGCTCAGTGACACAGATTAAACTGAGGTCTCATTTAAATCTCTTTGATTTAAAGCCAGAAAAAATCTTCAAAACATGTAAACTCCTATTTTATTACATCAATTACAATATTTTGCCACCCACACATATATTTACAAGGGATGCGGAAGCTCATCAAATCTAGTCAACCCAGAGAGACTAGAATGAAAATTGAAAAGGGGACACACACACACAGGAATTCAGATTTCTCCAGGCAAAGGAGAGGGGAATAGGTAGCTTTGCACCCATCAATTAAGTCTTGCAGGATCTTGGAAAGTCGGGGTATACAATCCTCCACTAGCCTCAGAAAAGGCCTTGAGGTAGTGATGGTATTTCACAAAATCTCATTAAATCTTGCAAGAATGCGAACTGTCATTACATTTAGCACAGTACAGCCAAGCCATTCAAATTCCTTCAGTATTTCTTCTTAAATACCATCCAGGAAATTATTTCAGACAGTGTTTGTCACACGAGCTTGGAATGATCTCATCCTAATTAATTATTTGTAAAGGAAGCCTGATGTTCAAAGGAAAATCATCCCTAAAGCTTGTGCCAAGTTCCAAGCTTTGCAACACCAGGGGGTTGCTGGGTTTTCAGGGTGGCACCATTATTAACTGCCCTCAGCAATCACATCCAGTTCAGTTTCAGTGTTAAAATGGAGATCTGGACAGTGCCATATACAAGAAATACACATTCTTCCTGCATCACACATAAGACAACTGCTCAATTAAACTAATGATTATTACAGAGGAAAAGGTGTAAGTGCGCAAGGAAGGATTTAAATAGCTTTTGCCAAACCTACAATCTTTACACAGCCCTTACCCAGAAGTCAGTGGGAGTTGGTGGAGTAAAATATGGCTAATTATCAGTATTTTTCTTCATAAATATGCAGTTTAAATCTGAGCATGCCCAAGAGGCTGACCCAGCCCTCATTCCATTCTGACCACTAGAAAAAAAATCAAGTGAGCACTAACTGTTATGACACATTCATACTAGAATCAGTCTCCAGCATGGTGAACATTTCTCCCCACCATTAGGTTCTCCTGATCTAAGTTTCTAGAGCCTTGATTAAGGCAGTCAATTAAATTACTACCCTTTTACAGCTTAAAACCAAACCAAAACAAACAGGAATAGCCAAAGTTGGTAGTTTCAAATCAATTGGTTCTGTCACTGAAGCTGCCCTGCTTTACTACTTGGTATCTATCACTCTTGCGTACTGAATGTGGAGGTTACTGCTCACTATAAAAGACAAAACAAAAGGCACTATGTAAGCATTTCTCGTTGCTCTAAAGAAACAAGAAATTCCACCAAAAAGGAAAATTCACCTCTAATTCATAGATGTGCCGTGTCAAAGCTAGAAATGTAGACACAATAAACGGGAAACTTAGATGTATGTATTTTTTGATCACTAACATTTGGAAAGAGACCCAGCTATTAAAGATGCTCATGTAACATTTTAAGCTTTTGTTTTTATAGGGAATAAAAATGATAAAGATTTTTATGGATTTATGTTTCAACCTGTAAAACAAGAATCCCCAAGCACTATAAAGATAATAACACAGTAATATCCAGGCAGGATGGATACTTTCAAGGATCCTATGGGTCACTTTTCCTTTAGATTTCTCTGAGTGCGTCAGGGATGTAGTGGATACAGAACAGTGGCAACACTTGCCTAGACCTGGATGAAGTTTTTCAGAAGCAGAAATACAAGAAGTGAGTGCAAAAAGGGTACAAAATCTGCTCATGACATAAAGCAAATTAAATTACTAAGGACTAAAAAGCAATGAGGAACTTCAGAGGGTCCCAAACAAGGCAAGATAGATGACAACATAACAATCAGTGAAATTCAGCTTAGTAAATGTACAGAAGGAAAGCAATTTTTAGTCAGCCATCACGCAGAGCATTACATCAGCCGCATCAAGTGCAGAAGGAGACATCAGCATAAACAGACAGCTCAATTGAGATTACAGCACCTTGTGTTTCTATGATTCCCACTAATGACATGTTAGACTGCAAAGTAGGCAGGAGGGAACTACTACAAAGAACATTTATCATTAAGAAGAACTCTCAGAGCGATATTAAATCTTGCACATCATGACATACTTAGTCTTGAAAATCATCCCCTACAAGATGATGCCTCACTTGCTGGAGTGAAGCTCATGCACATTCTTCTGAGGCACCTGGCATTGTGTACTGTGAGAGACCAGATTAGACTGGATGAACCTCCATTCTGATCCAGTCTAGCAAGTTGTACATGCTTATGCTTTTGTTGCATTTTAGAGACAAATATGGGTTTGGATGTGGTTGTGAGTGAGTGAATGTTAATTATTACTGAATGCTTACAATGAAATCACTTTGTTGATTTCATGGATCTTGTGCACACGAGGTTACACATTCTAACACTGATGTTAACAATATTGCAGCCTCAAGTTCAGAGATTGAAATCAGCATAAGCAGAATACTGGTCTATTACAACTGTAGTTTTACAAACAATGGTACATATCAGAAGCATGATTAATGTGCGTTAAATGCATTGAGCAAATTATGTTCACAGCTAGCAACTGTATAGGACAACAGACTGGAATACATATTACAATAAAGTACAGCTTGAGCTCACACGCTTCAACTTCTTGAATAATAATAGGAAGCCTGAAAAATAAACCTGGTATCAGTTTGACTTTGTGACTGGAAAGATCAGTGAGAAGGACTTACAGAAGAAGTATATTTTGCAGGGAAGAACCAAACCCAGTCTTTTCAAAAGAATGCCATAATGAATGCTTTCCTCGAAGCAAAGATGAGTTGTTCCTGTTGAAAAGTAACAGCTATGTGGAAAGCATATGAAAGAATCACCCTTAAAACAAACCTGCAAGACAAAGTCAGTCAACAGGTTACTGAATTTTCCCTTTACGGTTCAGACTAAAAAAATACTATTTTTTCTGAAGTGTCTGTTCTTCTTTGCTGAAGGATCTTAGCGTAGTACCTTTGGAGGACCCCTATGATAGAGCTGCCTGACATTGTATCTGAAGGATTGTCCATTTGTCCACTTCCTGACACAGAACATATCACTATCAACAGACAGTGTTATACTAAAGCTAGGCAACCAGCAAGAGAAAAGAACCTTTGTGCACAACTCCAAATACGGTTATGCTGAGTGCACAGAAGAAATACTACTCCAAAGTGTTAGTGTAAGACCCTTTGGACCACCAAAATATAATGTCGTGGTTTGGGCCTAGTTGGCAAACCAAGACATATAAGAACCACAAATATGTGGATGTACACTTTGCAAATACCTATCAACATGTCTAGAAGTTCAGACTGCCTGCACAGAGACATGCAAATTGCTGGTTGCATACAGCAAAATAGCTGAACCAATCCAAACTCAACTTTTTTGACAGTGCAGTTACAATTGAAATATACAGAAATTGCTGCACCATTTTAGTACCATCAGTACTGCAGACACTGGTTTGGGTTTGCCTGTACCAAACAGAAGTGCTGAATCAGACGTGAATGTCATTTAAACTAAGATGAAACAATTGACAATGGAAAGAAAACCAACATGTGAGAAACCCATGTTCCAGACATAAAGAAAGGTGATTCACAGGTAGGAAAACTCAGCAGTTTTGATGAATGGTTTAACTTCTGTAGCAGCCAATTCCAATTTTTTTCTCTCAGATCTTGGATGGAACCCCCCAGGTATCTAATTTAGGATTGCAAATTCTCACCAGATGGAATGACAGTACAAGCACCTGAGCGCTGCATGTGAAAGTCTCTTTTGTGTGTTAACCTTTTCAGTGGGCCTCTTTAGGCCATTTCGGTGTAATGAAAGTTACAAAAGAACAGTAAGTAGTTCTCTGTTCACAAGTGCATCTTGCAGTTGCCAATTTGACCAAGAGATGGTAGTATGTCTATACACAGCCATTACAAGGCAGTGGTGACGAGATAAATACTTGCTTGTATCTAAACCACTCTCTGATTTAGATGTTCATAAACACATATACTGCAAAGGTGCATTTAAAAACACTGATCATGCAAAGAAAGTCAGAGGTTTGAGCACAATCAATTGACTTAGAATTTGCATATACTTAAAGAGCACGAATAAGTCATTATATACTGCGTTTAGCTCTTTTTATAAAAAACAAGTTTAAGACACATACTAAAATCACACATAGTTGACCTTGAAAAATATATGTTGACAATAAACTCATGTAATTTTCTGGAAGATCTCACCAGTGTGCTTATATTTAGTGTTTCCCAATTTCTGCAAATCTGGTGACCTCCACACTTCCTAATTAAAGTCAAAGCACTTAAACCTTACATAGGGCATAGCAATGTGCCCTTGCTGCAAAGAAGGCTGATGATATCTCAGGGTGCATTAGGTAAAGTACTGCCGGTATGTCGAGGGAGGTGATCCTTCTCCTTTATTCAGCACTGGTGACGCCACACCTGCAGTACTGTGTCCACTGCTGGGCTCATCAGTACAAGAGAGATATGGACATATTGGAGAGAGTCCAGCAAAGGGACCGCAAAGATGTTGAAGGGACTGGAGCACCTCACATACGAGGAAAGGCTGGCAGAGCTGGGACTGTTCAGCCTGGAGAAGGCTCAGGGAGAGGGGGAATTTGACAACGTATATAAATACCTGAAGGGAGGATGAAAAAGAGGATGAAACCAGGCTCGTTTCAGCAGTGCTCAGTGACAGCACCAGAGGCAATGGGCACAAAGAGGAACACAGGAGGTTCCTCCTGAACACCAGGAAACACTTCTTCAGTGTGAGGGTGACTGAGCACTGGCACGGGTTGCCCAGAGAGGTTGTGCTCTCCATCCCTGGAGATATTCAAAAGCTATCTGGACATGGTCCTGGGCAACCAGCTCTAGGTGGCCCAGCTTGAGCAGGGGGGATGGACGAGATGACCTCCAGAGGTCTGTTCCAACTTCAACAATTCTGTGAAAGTGAATCTATACAATTAAGGCTATGCTGTAAACTACTAAAACTAAGACAGTTTGTATTTAGTTTAGACGATGCATATAAGCAAGCAATCGTAAAGTTTAATATGCAATACTAAGAAAAACATTGAGCTCACTGGACCATATTGTGCAGCAGTTATCTAGTATAAATCCAAATCTCATTCTGGAATGACTACAACTACCTCTGAATGCATCGCTGCTCATGTAAGATATGGGTCCCTTTTTCCTATTGCATATGTGCCTAGGCTGATCTCTACTTGCTGTTTTATGGCCTAGTCATTCAGTATGTTCAGAATCCTCTACAACTTTTCCAAAGGTGCCTCCCTCATCTTTACTACTCAGAATAACCGAGCAAGATTTTCCACCTCATGTCTTTTTATCGGCTTCTCACATTATTCATGAACTTGTAGAAGATCATAGATTTCTGCAAAACTACTGGTGACCCACTCCACAGTGAAAACTGCTTATTTCTGCTCTTATTTCCTGTCTTTTGACCAATTATTTATTAACGCAGTGATCTTCCTTTTATATTATGGCAACTTTAAGAATGTATTTCTTAAAGTCCAAGTCTCCAGTGTGATATTTTTAATTTGTCTGCATTATGCTACAGATATTCTATGTTTTTAGATGTTGCTTTTAACAAGTTTCCTCATTTTGAAGTGGTTTCATTATTTTGGATGTACTGACTTTGTTTTTAGTTCCTTGAAGGGTTTAGGATCTAAGTAGCTTAGGGTCAGTGTTGGAGAACATCAGTTCAACATGCACACTTGAAATGCATTCTGTGCATTGTTTAGAGCCAAGTTAAGATTTGCATTTCCTACTCTGGGGTCTCAGCTCTTTGAAGAAATTGTCACTGTCTGTCTTTAAAGGCTTCACATCCCACTGTGGAATTTAACTTCACCTATAGGCAGGAAAAGTCACCCTTTCTGTAGTTTTTTTAGTGCGGTCTGAGAGATAAGAGAGTCCTCAACTTCCGCACAGCAGGCCAGCAAGATAAGCTGAAGGAGAGGTGGCAATATCATGTCCCACCCTGTATAAAGAAATCGAACAAACGACTTTGCAACTGGATAATTTTTAAAGCAAGCTGAAGGAAGGAGCCGTTGTCCATCAGAGCAAGCAGGAGCTGAAGACTTTCATGGCACAGGGAACTAGATGTGGGCCAAGGTAAGCAAAAATCACTTTGGTTAGTCCCAAGCATTTCACAGTTGTCTGTCAGGAAAAACAACTGTCCCTGCTCCAAGACGATGTTCATAAGGCTTGTAGAAGAGGTGAACTTCTTACAGGGCAGGAGCCAAGAAAGTGCTCTAAAGGCTAAGGTTGATCAATTTGCACGGAGGACTGCACGAAAAGGGACAGAAAACAAAAGCTGGTATCACTGCCTAAGGGGAGGTTGAGAGAAACAGTAAGAGGCAGCTCGGGCAGACATGAGAGTTTGGCAGAAAAGGCAAGAGACTTATCCTTAACATAGGGAAAAGGGTGCAGGGGGTGGGGGAAGGTAAGCCAGACTATAAAACTGAAGCAGATAGATGACGAAGTGTTTTAGCCACTTGAGCAATAAGAGGGCCCAGATTCCAAGCAACCTTGAAGAAAGTGACAATAAGATCCATTAAAAGTCATGTGAAGGAGAGGAAGCCAGACTGCATATGACTCATCAGTATACAAACATCTTAATCACAGAAGAAAATATACAAGGTCAGAGCTGGTAAAGCTTAAACTGGTGCAGGGCTACGAACTGAGACAGTTGCAAAGGGAGTTGAAAGCCAGACCGGAGTCATTCACTGCAAACAAGGCATGACAAAATTCATATAGGAAAAAGGAAATGAAGCACACAATCCAGTGGGACTCCCACAACAAACACAAAATGGACAACAGCAATGGAAGAAGGTATCAGTGCAGAGGACAAGGCAAGTTAGACATAAGGAAAGTGCAGACCAATGAAAACTGCAAAGAGTAGGAGTTGTGGCTTTACCATAGGAGCTTCAGACAGCAGGGGAATGCTCTGTGGATTTTTTTTTTTTTTTTCTTTTGGCTGGAACAAAGGGAGAAGCCGGAGTCAGCAAAGGGGAGGTAGGTGACAGGATGTGTCATGTAAGGGGCAGCAGTTACAACCCACAGGTTCAAGGATCTTAGTGATGACTTGGGAGCTGAAGAGGTAAGTGAAGTCAGGATGATCCCAAGTCTGAGAAAAAACAGGATGTTATCTGCTTCTCAGCAATAAGTCTGGAAAGATTAAGAACACCACCAAAACTAGAAGAAAAGTGCAAGTATATGGTCACACTATAGCCACTGAGCTCCAAATTGGGTACTTAAAATTGTGACATTTTTTTTCTCTCTTCTGGTGCCGGACAAAAGCATGTATGATGGGTATGATGCATGTGTAGGACACAGGAGGAGAAGCTCTTCTGTCTCCTGCAGCTCTGGGTGTGAGATTGACAGCTAACATGGTGCAAAGAAGAAACAACTGCTGTTTGATTTACTGTGATCCAGCATACATCCAGGACTATACAGCCACACTGCATTTGAGCCAGCCAACCTTTGGTCTTTGGTGTATATCAGACATACATGGTGCAGTAACTGCTGGAAGAGCTTGCACCCACATTGCAAGCGGGGTATAATTAGCTCATCTCCTGTGCACAATTTCAACTGCGTATCCACATGGAGAGATGCTGCTTTGAGTTCCATTGATGCCCTTGAGTAAACATCTCACATCCTCAAACTCATTCTATATCTTTTCACGCTACAGGTCTGAGCATCAAAAAATGTGATTTCTAAAATCACAATGAACAATAACCATCACACAGAAGAAATCAGCACTGAAAGGCTTATGACTCACTGAAAGGTGAGGCAGGGGCAGCCGTTCACAATCACTGTGAGCTTCTCAATCCCAATACATAAATACCTGCAGCAGCTAAAGAGGACCTTCCTCATAGCAGACGGGTAACACCATTACCATAACTATCAGAGCTCTGGTCCTCTACCCAGCTGAAGAACAGAGCTGGTGGAAAAATCCATCTCCAGAGCCGGACAGAGGCACCCACATTTAGAAGTGAGGCCAGTGAACCGTTCACGTAAGACAGGGTAGAATCTCCTGCTGCTGGGACTGTAGGGTCAAAACTAGATCTCTTTCTAGAAAAGACACTGCAGCACAATAACCAATGCAGGTTTACTACTCTATAATTTGGAAGTACTCACAGGATCTCTCCTCTCTCCTGGCTTTTGGTTTAGGAATGTTCAAAGTTAGCTAACCTGTTACAGATGCGTTCTGTTACAGTGCTTTCTAGTGAGACCCCTGAGAAGGCCAGCAGCCTTCAGCCCCAGTGTGTTTTACCATAATCTGAGCATTAGGCTGTGACTTTTGTTACAAGATACTGAATCCCAGGAGCAGCAGATCTGCACCATTCTGGCTGTTCCTGGTTTCTACAAATCTATGAAATACACACCCCACTTTCAAACATGGAGGCGTAAGTGCAGTACTAACCTTAGGAAGATTCAGTAGGCATGAAGCAAGCCGCTAAAGGGTTAAGACTCTCACAAGAAAGGAGAGCTGTGGCTCCAGATATAGACAGAGTCCCTGCAATCTGCATGGAGTAAAGATGCATGTCTGGAATACACACAACCAGATCTCTTTGGTTGCAGGATCACATCCATCCAAAGCAGATGGAACCCAGACTGAACTTCCCGTTGCCAGCCTGGGAGACCAGAAGCAGTGGAGCAGAGCGCTGGAAGAACTGGACCCATGCTTCTGGACCACCTCTGTGAACACACTTGTCAATGTTCCCACTGGCCAGTACACTCTGCTTTTACATCCCTCCAAGTCTTACTGTCTCCTGGGCAATTTCACCCTTCTCTTTAATCCCTGATGCCAAGGTACGTGGTCAGAAAGGCAGGCTGGGATAAGTCACTTCACAAAAAGAGCTTTTGAGTTCTGGCACTCTGCCTCCATGGAGACTGAGGCTGACTCACCTACTACTCCCTGCCACTCCTGCCCTGCTCCTCACAGCACCTTAGGAAGGAGGTAGGGACTAATAAAAGCTCAAAGCTTCCTGCCTCAGCACTTCTGCTCTGTTCCTGGGGAACTCCACTGCCAGACACCTGTCCTCCTGCTAAGGCAAAAATGTTTGATACTGTTTCCTATAATAAAGATTCTAACATGAGTCAAGATTATAACTGGTCTGATTAAGGCCACTGTATCTTTCTTAGGAACAGAGAAGTCAACAGCCAGGAGAGTAGAAGAGCTAGTTAGTGCAACGGCCTAGGTCTGGAGGAACTTTTTGAACAAAGAAACAGAGATGACACTGCAATTCTTTCCTGTCTGATTCGGAATCTGTATTATTTTTCCAGGGCAGAATGCCAGGGACTGCCAAAGTCTGATGATGTAAGAGAGATGTAAGTGCATCTGAGACCAGGAATGCTTTCTTCCTGATGCTTTTTTCCTCTAGTCTAGACGATGATGTTTTCTTGGCTAATGAGGCACAGTGGCAGGAGTATATTTTAAAACAAGAGGGTGTCATCTACTCGGGGACTGAAAATGCAGTCCTAGCACAACCCTGGGACTTGAGTCAGGTAAGCAAGAGGTACAATATGTCCGTGCGCTTTTACAGCCACCAGTAGAGGAAGTGTGCATATCTCCTGTTTGTACAGGATGCTACCCATTTCCATGCTGTGGCTGTGATGAACGAACTTGCTCTCTGCACTCATCATCTTCAACCAAGATGTGCAAGAGAATAGGGACCTGTGTATTAAATCCCATAACCCAGTATAGGTAATTTTAGCTACCTTCTCAGGCTGTCCTCTATGAAGAAATGCATTGATCTATATCTGCACTTTTGAGTGCCTTCCTTTCATCAACAGATACAAAGCATTTAACAGAGCTTAGTAATACTGTCTCTATTTTACAGGTAAAGTGAGGACAGGTACATCTTCCAATTTTCCCAAGGCTATCTGACATAGCCAGTGATTAGAACAAGATTTTTATTCCACTTTAGTGCCATCAGCTCACAAAAAGTACCTCTGTGCCAACCTAGACAGTGCTTCAGAAAAGCATCAGTTTCCCTTAATGAGGGGATGCAGTATCATGCTAATGCATTTCCCATCTTGCTTCGATAAAGCCTTTAGTATGTAGTGCTGCCCCTCCAAATATTACCAGGAAGGGAGAAATAATTGTGCAGTTACAAACCCTTGCAGGGACTCCAGAGAGAAAATGTTCAGGCCAAACTTCCTGAAATTGTGTTCTTGTTTCAGTTTTAGGAAGATATTGTTGACATTGGCTTCACACTGCCGGATGTAGGTGAATGCCATCAATGAGACAAGGATCACACCCAGCACAAGAACCCTATTTACATCTGCTGCACAGTTGCTGCCATGGTAAGGAGAGCAGACAGCAGCCCTGACCCTAGCAGAGAAGACCCAAATGCAGAGCAAAGCGTAGCCATCTTCTCAATCCAGTTGATGGCAACCCACTGACCAAAAAGGAAGCCTTCCCAGGGCTGTTCCAACCAACACATCCTGCCCTTGCAGATATTCTTGTGGCAGACAAGTAGTGCTGCAGGAGTGACAGTACATTTATTGAATAAATTGCAGGGGAGACTGCTGCACCTGTTCTGCTCAGCCATGACTTTCGTGCTTTGCACAAAAAATCCAGCTTCATCAAACAGGATGAGGTGTACCTACCAAAGAGCGGAAATTCCTTAACCCATCTTTTTCTCCTCCTTCCCTGCAGCTGAACTGCGATGAGTTAAGAGGAATCCTGACAGAATGTGGGACTGGTCAATACTATAATGGGACATCCCCTTCCAAGTGTCTGGGAGGCAGCCCCATCCTCCAGCAGAGGCTTGCATTGCAGTGCAAGCTTGTTCACTGCAGGCAGTGCTGGGTCTTTGCTGCAGTCATGTGTTCAGGTGCAGTGGTGGTTCAAAGACTACTGTGTTGAGAAAAGCCTTAATTGGTCTGCTGAACCTCTAACATATGGCTAAATCAGTGATTAACACAGATCCCAGTAACATAACCTTTAATGTTTAGGTGAGAGGCAGATCCTCAGTTTCCTCATCAACATTCAGCATTGCTAGCTTTGAGATAAAAGAGTATCAGCACACACCATTCACTGACCGTACCCATGACAGCTAATTTCCTGAAGGGGCAATGCCTCTTGCAAAGTCCAAACAGCAGGCCTGGTGCCATTCCTGATAGGTCTAGCACCAAAAAAGGCTCTACATCTACCAACAGAGGCACCCATAGAGCAGGATGCACAACTGATTCACAGCTCTTTCTTCTGCACAGTTCTGAGGTGCCTGGAAATTCCTACCAGGGTGGTCACAGGCTTTACATGGGCTCACAACACTAACAGCAGCCCAAGTGTGGATGAGTATTATAATGAAGATGGGACACTGCTCACACACGACAAGACTGCCCATATCGGGTAAGAAAACATGGCAGGGCCCAAGCAAGGATTTGAGACAATACCTGGATCTAGGAAGTGATCAAGAGGGAGGAAAGAAAGAGATAAACAGCTGCAGGGAGGTGGATAGGAGACAGCTCAGCCAAGTCCCGTCTACGTGACCTGTTCTTGAGAAACTGCTGCAACCCAAACTGAAGAGTGCCTTATCAATAGAGCCCACGAGGGAAGAATGATAGCCCATTCCAGTTGAAGAAACTCTGCTTGTGTCAGAAACCATGGTCACTACTCTCCTCAGCATGCACCGAGCTCTTTCAAAGGAGCATTAATTGGCTGTGGTTTTTCTAAAACTTTACTGTACCTCAGGGCTCAGTCCTTTCATATAAGCATGCGATGTTGTTTCTTGCAGGACCTTCCACATTTGGAATGAATGCTGGATGGCTCGAGTCAACTTGCTACCAGAATACAGCAGGTGGCAGGCACTGGATGCCACCTGCCAGGAAAAAAGCAAAGCTAAAATATCAAAGATGGGCTTGGGGGTGGGGAGAGCGGTGCAGGAAGCAAATAAAGCACTTCAATATTCCTCCCTTCCCCAACTTCCAATGGAAACATGCAAAAGGACAGGGACTGAGCCTGTTGATTTTAAGCACTAAATCATCATTCATCTGTTTGTTCTGTGCAGCTTGCATAGCTCTAAGAGCTCTATCACAGCACTGCTCCCTAATGTCCTCCTAAACTAGATACTTCACCACTCCCAATATAGATCTAAACTAAACATGGATCTAGTTGGTAAAGCACGTGAATCTTAACTGGGTCACATTTTCTCTTCAGGTCCATCCTTCTGTGGGTCATCCCCTGTTCAAGCCATCAAGGAACAGGACACATAATTTAATAATGACGTCTGCTACTTCCTTGCTGCCATCAATACCAAGTGCCAGCTCTGGATACAAAAAGCAGGTGACACCCTCAGTCCAGCCCTCGGTGGCACAAAGTATGCTGGCAACATCATCAGCACCAAGAGCATGGGCAGTGAACGCTGTGAGGATATCACACACAACTACAAGTATCCTGAAGGTTCAGGGTAGGCAAGTGGCTGAGCATATTCCCTGCCATTGTTAAAAGTGAAGAGTAAAGGACTAGAGAGCAGAGCTGTACCAGAGCATTAGGGTCAGCCACTTCTCACTACTTCCCCTTCCTGAATGTAACAAGAACACCTTACTCTTGCCGTCTACAGAATCAAAGCACAGGTCATACCCCAAATTTTATCCTGCTTAATTACATTAACCAGCTCTCTAGAAGGCCAGGCCTTTCTTCACCAGGCACTTTCTTGCCTGGAAAACCTTCTTTCTTGATTTCTGTTACCTGTACACTCTGTACATTCACCTCCCATTACCCCCGTAATTAGATATATTTCAGACTCCAGCTCTCTGAAGAGTACTGCTGTGCTCCCAGATATTGTCTAAATCCCTCCCTCAAAAAGTAGCTCCCCTTTCAGAATCTATTACTGAGTGCTGTTTCCCTGACCCAACCCTAGCATCTCACCTTAGCCTATGGCATGTTGTCTCCTTAGCTGCATTCCATCACAAGAGAACATAATACTGTGCCCTATCTACAGCTACAGTCTTTTATTCTGACAGCTGCTAGCACCAGTGTGCTTTAAAAACTATGACAGGCCTTTCCAAGTAGAATCTTTCAGGGACATCCAATGAATGCCCTGTCAGCTGAAATTCTCAAACTGCTCCAACCGGAAGCACAACAGGATATCTATGCTCTTTGAAACAGTTAACTACAGTACTTCCAGGATAATGCCATCCTTCTGCATTTACTGCTTTCACACTAGTAAACGGGAAAGAATACTAAAATATGTGCACCCTTTTTTTGTGACAGGTTCTCTTCAGGAAAAACAAGTACTTGACAAAGCCTACAGAAAGGTAAAGAAACTTGAGACAACCAGCAGCAGCAGCGAAACACAGTTTAGCTCCATTCCTGCTGCCCTTGAAGAGCCAGTTAACCTCTTCATCCACCTCCAGTCAAAGAGTTCTCTGCTACTGGGACAAGTTGTTCCACTTTCCACTGCAGTGTTTAACCACAGTGATGGAGAAGTCTACTCACCTGGTAGTTGGGGCTCAGTCTCTACATTATAATGGTGTGCCTGTTGCCCAACTTTGGAAGGAAGAGTTTCATTTTATCCTCAAAGGCAATGAAGGTAAGGACTCTACTGGATGCATGGCTAGAAAAGTGTAACCAGTCCTCTCACTTCAGGAGAAGTGCACTTAGCCGTAAGTTTAAAAAGGGTTGGCTGAATAGTTGATTGTAGGTGATTGAAATAAAACACTTTAGCAGCATCACCTTGGAGATTTTGAATCTGCAAATCCAGTTGGGATCATGTAAGCTTTTAAATGCTGCAGCTTTTAGTACAATGTTGGGCACTAAACACTCCTAGGTGCTGGCTAAGACCAGACTGTATTTATCATCTGCACTGTCATCTGTATTTCACCACTTTGTATTCCAGCGAACAACCCGCAAGTCTTTGTGCCTTACTCACAGTACAGAAAAGTGCTGGGAGAGAACCATCTGCTTAGGCTGACTGCCATACTGAGAGATGAGGACTCCTTCTACATATACCAAAAACGTTCTGCTGGGCTGAGTGACTCTCCTCATGCTGTCTTCTTCCAAAGCACTGAGACATCAGTTTGGGAAAGGTGAGTTGTGCCACACTGTTGTATACAGTACTCCCTCTTCTACCTTGTCTATGTGCGAGCATAAGGAAATCCCAGTGACTCCTAACTCACTCACCAGTTGGAAATCAGAGGCTGCAGAAGGAAACTATGGCAGAAGACTGTAGCTGAGAAGAAAAGTGAGCTGGACTTTGCCTCTTCTGGCAACTGTCAGCTCAGGCTGAGACCTCTGGCACCAAATAAATCATTTACCTCCCTTTCATCATAGAAGAATCTCTTTACTTCTCTTAGTTTCAGCTCATTTCCTTCTTTCAATAGTTTCCAGAAAACATGGCACAGTATCAGCCAAGCACAGCAAAGATCAGCCTTCTGAACCCTCTCACCGAACCCTTGGAGAAGTGTGTGATAGTGGTTGCAGGGCAAGGGCTCATTTACAGACAAAGGAAGTACACGTTAAGTGCAAACTGATCAATCTAAGAACAGTAAATGGACAAATAGACACAATACAAGCTAGAAAAAACCCTTGCATGGGAAAGGCTGTCCCCAAAATAAGCAGGCAACAACATGGCAGGAAGAGACTGCTAGAGCATGAAAGCCCCAGGCGTCCTGTCCTTTATTTACAGATAATACAGATTTTCACACCGAAAAGGAGAGAAGCCAGATAAACGAACTTTCAACAGATGTGTTATACGTAAGTTGAAGCCAGCACGACATCTGTGAAAGCTTCAACCTCAAAGGCCTAGACAGCAGAAGGAAAGCCCCCTGTCAACAAAAAGGGTAGCAAGAGAAGTACCATAAGACTTAGAGAGAAATACACATTAAATAAGACAACAGTTATAGGTCACTGAAATTAACTATGAAATGTATAAATTATTTGCTGTTGAGAAATCAAATGCTTTTTAGCTAGTCACTTGAACATCCAAATGTGGGGTAAAACTATACTGTTTGTGACATATCTTTCCACCCGTTACCCACTGGCAGCAATAAAGACAGTCCCTAGATACAATTCTAAGTGTCTTCCCGTTCTCTACTGTAGAACCAGGCAAACTTAACTTAGCCAAGAATCCTCCAAAAAGGCATGCTCTCCTTCACATGAAACCCACACACACATTTATCTCAAGAAGCTGCATTAGGACAAAGTAACCTTAGATGCCTCCATGAGGAGTTCAACTCTCCCGTCACATCTCCCTCACAATTCCATTGTGGTAGTTTAGAAAACAGCTAGTATCCTATTTCTACTTTTTTTTTTTTTTTTTGCTTTGCTTCTTTTGGCACCACACTCCTTTCTAGCAAATGCATCTCGTGGGCTCTGGGAACTAGAAATACAAAGAGGTGCACTTCCTGTAAAATCCCTTCTCACATTTCAGGTTGGGCTCCATGCAACCTAAAAGTATTCAAGAGCTGCAAATCACATTCACTCCCACCCAAGCAGGGCCCAGAAGAATCACTGAACATCTTACTTGCCTTTAACTCCAGAACCTGAAGAGCTATGAAACCATTAACGTTGCAGCTGCCTGATGCCAAACTTAGAACAGGTCCTGCTGTCCTGTTTACAAAATGAGTGGTCATGATCTGTGCCCTGATCTTAGGCAAGCATAAACACTTCAATTAAGTTATAATTAAAACCATGCCTGACTTTGATTATTTGTACAAATTCAACTCTCCCATCTGCCACTACGCCCACTCTCCAGTTTTGTAAGTTGAACCTTACTGTGAGAAAGATGGGATAAATGCTCAAGCAGATACTTCATTCCTCACCATGCATATGTGCTGAACCCACCATTTAGTCATTTTTCCCTACCCACGGCAAAAAAGCATATCCTAGAACTTTAAAGTGATGATAGATGTAGCATTTCTCTAGAGACATCCCCCTACAGATAACTGATGTTGGCAAAGTAGTAAATAATGTTTTCTACTGTTTTCTGAGGAAATAGAAAAGATAGTTCACTTCTCTAAAGTTAGATAGGAATTAGCAGCAGTGCTGCATATTTTTAAGGCTGCTTGCAAAAGAAGCAAGACCCTTTCCTTCTGTATATATCCTCTGCCACCTGAAAAGATAAAGCCACTCATGCAAATCTAGCAACATTTTATTGTTTGAACCCCACAGTAGTTGTCATGACTGAAGAATGGGGCACATTCACAGCATTAAGATGCAGCAGCGCAACATCCCAGGAATCCAAGCAAAATGACACCTTCTGCAATGGCAAAGAGCAACTTCCTGGGAAAGTTTTACCAAGTGGCAGTAAAGTTCTCTCCTAAAAACATTGTCCTCGTCATTCTCCAAGTAGCTGGAGAACAGTGAGATTCACCGGAAAAGCATATGCCAGATCCAGTGGCAGCAACACATGTAGACATGGAAAAGCTAAAGTTGACCCTGTGTGAAGTTCTTGATTTTGTTCATGTTGTGATCTACTGCACCAGTTAGAAACTGCACCCAGCCTTCCTCTGATGGTGGACATACATGGCTTGTCCTGCAAAAGTGGAGGAAATTCATTAGGAAAGCCTCCTGGGTGTCTTACATCTATGCATCCAGACAACACATGGGTATTGTGAAGTGCTGAATTACCACAGCATTAAAACAGGACTGCTGTAGCCCCCAAGTGCTTTGAACAAGGAAAAGCACCACATCCATGTCTCTAGTCCCAAATCTTAACACATATGTGTGTGTCTTCAGTGGGAACCACTTTCATCCCTACCATCCTTTTCTCACTCCCATCCCTTTGTGACTGGGTAACATCATAATTATTGAAAAATGCCACTATTTACTGTCTAGAAATGAGTCTCCTTTGACAGGAGGCATCAACCTTCATAGCAGGGAACACACACTTATAAAGCTGTAACTCATACTCACTTTGCAATCTCTAAGACTTTCTTTAATACTGAGGCCAACTTAGCAGCCTAGAAAAAAACAAAAGGGAAATAAAGTGAGCCAAACATGGAAAAATAGAGGCTCAGCAGTACCGGAAAAGAAAGGGGAGTGCAGGATTGCCCAACCCAGCCAAGAATGAGTAGAACTGCCACAGATCCTGATGCAGAAGGAAGCTATTTATCACTGCTGTGCTGGGAGTATCTCCTGATCTGCTGCTGGCTGGGACAGGTGAAAAGAAACACAGGCTGTTTTTTGAAGCATATGTTAAAATGGTTTTTTGTTTGGTTGGTTGGTTTTTTTTAAAAAATATAAGTCTATTATAAATGAGTAACTGATATTAACGCATGAAGTTACAAGTGACTGACTGTAATGCAATTTGGTATTAAGCAATGATTTCTTTTTTACCCCCCAAAAATGAAGCCACTGGCCAAAGGCATGAAACCAAAATTAAGACTAAAAAATCTCAGATATGAGAAGATAAGTACTTAATTTATGATGCAAGGGACCCCTGGAAGTCATCTAGTATAACCTCCGGCTCAAAGCAAGGCCCACCTCAAAGTTCAGTCAGGTTGCTCAGAGCCTTGCCCAGTCAAGTTTCAAGTATTGCTAAAAATGGAGATCCCACTGCTTTTCTGAGCAGCTTGCTTCAGTGCTTAACCATGCTCACTGTGAGAATTTTTAATTTGCATTTTTAATTTAGGTAACTACTTTAGCAAGTCTACATTACCCAAGGAAGAAAGCAGACATGCAATGTATTGTCAGCCTTTGACCTCACTTTCCTCAGGTACTGTCACCGGACATGTCTATGGATTATAGTTCAGAGCCAAAGCTCAAGTGGCCATGCACGCTCTTCCCCGAAGAAGGGAAGATGAGGAATGCACTTCCACTTTAAGGAAGCTAAGTGTGAAAGAACCAAAGGAGACTCTTCATCCCTCAGAACTTGTTACTGAGACAGTCACTAACACCCACGTCTCCCTGGCAGTCACATAATCCCTTCAATTCGCTTTCTTCCCCTACTCTACAGACAAGTGAATAGACCCACAGGCAGGCTGCAGATACTTACATTGAGTCGCACAGTCAACTGGTTCATAGGTGGATACATGCTCAGTGCCAGCTCATCAACACTAGAATAGAAGAGAAGGGAGCAAAGGAAGAAAGGTCCTAATAGCACAGCTCATGAACCCTGGTCAAAGCCTACATCCACCCTGAATGTAAGTCAGGAACAGTACTGCATGACAAGGAGACAACATCTGTCATACCTATGGGATGCTTCTCACAGCCTTCTCACGTATCTGTGTGCTACACTCACCTTAAGAGACATGACCACAGCTCCACCCCAAGCTGCAACATATACTTCTCTCCTAACTTGAACAGCCTATGCCATAATAGTCTTCCCACCACTTGCACACAGCTTCAGTATCATGAAGGTTTTCCTATTCCATTCATTAGACCTCAAGAAAGACAGGGAGTGCTCTGGAGCAAAAAGTGGCATGGAGAGAGACCTGCTTACCTTGGACTGATCTCATTAGCAATGTCTGCAAGATCATCTAGCTGAGCAATCTGCTCTGGAGAATCAGCTTTGCCATAAGCCTTCACTACACCCACGACCTTCTTCAAGCAAGCTTTAGAAGCCTTCATTAATCCCATGCAGGAGCTAAGCAGCTTCCGGTCAGCTTCTGACCAATACGTATCTCTGTTGCCCCGAAAGCCCAGTTCTTCATCTTCCATGATGTCACTGTAGGGATCTTGCCCTTCCACCAGAGCCTGAGAACATAGATGCACTGAAAACCCAGAGCCCAACATCAATTCCAGCAGCACCCGGGAGGAAAGGAAAAACATAATCTAGAAATCATATAAATAAATTGTAGAGGAATCTCTCTCCAACCAGCATCTCAATTGCCAGATTCTGATAATCCTAGCAGGGCTGGATTAAGAAAAACTAATCCCCCGCTCCAATTCAACAAAGCAAACAGCAAGATCCTGGAAAATAGTGCCATTCTTACATCAGCCTAAACTGCCCTGCCGCCCCACCCCCTCCACCCCGCAATTCAGGACATGGCTTTATGGAAACTTTATACAAAGTAAACCAGGCTGGTTAAAAACTCACTAACATCCAGGCATAATACAATTATTAACTCATATCAGAACAAATTGAAATCAAATCCTGTATATAAGACAATCCCTGTTTCCATCACTGAGCCATAACTGCAATCAATCACTGCAGGTTCCTTAAAGGCTTATTGGGCTTCCTTACACGTTCCATCTCCTCCAGAGCATCCTTGACCACACCCAGACATGCAGCCAGCACTGATGCAACTGCTGCCTGGTTATCTGCAAAAGGAAAAGGATGAAAACCATGGCACCGCACCGATTAAAATCAGCTTGCAACAACATTCATCTAGGTTTGCAATCACGAGACCTTGAGATTATAGAATTAAACTTTTCGAAGAGCTCAGAGTTGCACTGTTGTCATGCAAAGAATCTGGCCTGGCTTCCAAGCTTATACGTTTCAAAACCAGTCAAGTTTTGCAGAATGAGTGAGCCTTCATTGTACTAGCTAGAATGCCCCCTGAAAGGGCTATTGATACTCCAAAACACACCCTAGTTCTGTCATGCTGCATACACAATACTCACCTCGTGGCAGGTTGGATACTTGCTCACATGCCTCCCACACACTACCAGTTGTTATAAGCTGTTCCTGAGACAAGCTGAAACAAAACAAAGGACCCCAGAGTTAGACTCAATAACAACACTCTGCTAGACTGTATTTTTATTTTCTGCACCAAAGATGATGCACACTAGTAGAAGTACTGCTGGAAAGATATCACCAACCAGCTTGTCAGTAGTATCTCAAGTCTGTGTAAAGCAAGAAGTGCTGGCTCCTACTGATTTTAATTATCCATTGACCAAGAAGCAGGAACCTCTTACAAACGCCTCTCAAGGTCCACAGACATAATATTTATCTTTCAGAATATATGCAAATCAGAAGTCTCTATTAGAGATTGCTGACCTCTGCCTAGGGAACAGTGGTGTGTAATCCGTAAAGAGAGGAAGCAGCCTATAGTGGTCCAGTAACTAGCTATCTAGCACCTTCATGGGAATCCTGCTCCCAGCATCTTTCCACAGACAAGAGGAAAAATCTCTTTTCCACTTAGGCAGAGGTACCTGACTCAGTCACTGGGACAAGAGGGTAATGTCAAGGCCTCGAGTGTATTCCACCCTCCTAGGAGTTTAGCTGTCTCAGTTGAAGAGTTTAGTTGGCTAAGTACAAAGTCATCTCCTTTGCTGATAGCAGGTATTGTGAAGAAAACTAGAAGTGAGGGCCAGCCCTTCCTTACCCTAGGAGATGATTTTACCCTGAGATTCTGTTTGTGCTACATCACAGTCGTGTGGCAGTTATGTCTGCACCCAGTCTCATACCCCTTTGATTCTGACCTGGATCCTGACCCACTGATTTGACCTTGACCTCAAACCCAACTCACCGTAATGGACGTGCTGGGCAATCACTGGATGGTGTCTGATGCTAGTTACTCTCTCCGGACCTGACCCTGATCTTGACGTGCTGGCCTGACTTTCCAGCTTGACCTCACCACTATGGGCTTGTCTGATAATCTGGACTCTCAACTGAACCTCACTACCCTCACCAGCACTGCTCTGCTCACTCTGATACTGCTGGACAGCACCTTTGCTGATGAGGCCACTGCCTCTTCCTGCCTTATAACAATGCTTTGCTTCTGCCTCCCCCCCTTCCCTTAGGAAGTAGTCTACACTTGCTGCTTCCTAACAAGTATACTTGTAACTTTTTCTTCCTTTATTTTTTCTGGAAGATTACTACCTTTCCAATGGAGCACTGAGAATTGCTTCTGTGAGTTGGATCATTCCTTCCACTACTTCAGTGGTAGCATCTCGTACCATCTTCCGAAGAGTAGTGCCTGGTTGAGATTGAAAAAGAGCAAGAAAGTTGCCACAAAGTCAGCACCAACAGAAAGCAACTGCCAAAGATGAACACACAGACTGCTTCATTTGTGTGGATACAATGTACAAATGAAGTTACAGGTATTTTGAAGGAATCAACCTGTTTCCCAGTTCCAAAGGGACTCTGGACAAGGATCTCAACACTTTATAAGTATGAATGTTCAATCAACTACACAACTTCCTACGTTATCACTCTTTCATAGATGTTAATCTGCAGGAGTAGACACACAAGTAGCCCACTCATAAATATACTGAAAGTCTACAGAATAGCTGATAGTGGGACTACCTGCTACTGACAACTTGCTTTCTTGCAAATGCCAGATCTCATACTAGGCTATGAAATACTGGGTTTCTTTACATAGTGGTGACTGCCCTGCTGCCACTATCTTACCTTGGCCCTTGGGGAGCCAGTAGTACACTGTGGCAACTGCAAGAATGGCATTTTGAACATCTTCACACAGCTTCCGGGAATCCTGAAAAGAGACAGGCAAAAGGATTAACCATGAATTAATGGCTGCACTGCGTATAGAAAGTCTCAAAAGCAATTGCTTAAATTCAGAATGCTTTGAGAAGAAATAAGCATAGTAATGGCCATCTTCCTTGAGAAACAAATACAGCACAAGAAAAAGATACAGTAAACAAGCTGTATACATCAAAAGCTGCCTCTTGATTTCGTAACAAAATACACCCTGGTGTGGTGGTCATGCATCAGAGAGGAAGAAGTAGCTTCGATCATTATTCTGAAGTGGAAGACTTTTTTTTCTCTCCTCCAAACACAGGTGTAATAAACTTCTCTCAATTAACAGCAGAAGTATTGCATATTCTATCCTGTCTCTATCAGCAACTAGCTGTAGATGTTAAAGAAAAGAATGTAAGAATAATTCTATTTGGTACACCTCCCTGACTTCAAGAAATCAGTTCTCTAGGCAATTCTCAAACTAGATTAATACACTCTACAACGCACAGCCCATACCGACATCCTTTGTTTGCACCGAACCAAATGACTTTGGTTTAGTCATGTGAACCAAGAGATACCCGAAACTTGCCACACACAGTGCAACTTCACAGTCTGTGGGGGCTTTCACTCACCTCTGCAGAAGTCAGTGGAGGCCTTGAGAATGTCAGACTCAGCTTTGTAGCTTCTTGTGACGTTACTTTGAACGCTTGACCTAGAAGGGATTCAATGGGAGCAGAAGAATAGAAAGTAACTCGAGTAATATGTACCCAAACAGAACAACTAGATGAGCAACATCTCTGGTGCTACTTTGCCCTACTGCTTGATTACCATTTCTTCCTCCCAAGCAATACAACGACATAAATGTAATCCCAATACAGAAGGAAAATTCTATGGTGTATCTGTGCCGTACGCGTTTCATGTGTCCCATGTCTGCTTTTATTCTAGTTTTTTTTTTTTTTTTTTTTTTACTTAGCTGGTGATGTCAACAACCGCATTTTGTGTCCCGGTGCGTGACATCTTCACCAGGATGCGCTGTGAGGCTTCAACAGAGACCAAAGCCGTCAAAAACCTAGTTTTGATAACTGCCAGACCCCGGCCGCTGCTGTGCCAGCGCCAACGCCCTGGAGCGGAGGGCGAGTGCTGGAGCCCTGCCAGGCGCAGGCACCGCGGGCAACCGCCTTCGCCACAGCCCCGCGCACCCCGCCCCGCGGCCCGGGCCCGCCCCGGCCCCGCCCCGACGGCGCGGCCCAGCGCCGCTCACCCCGCGGGCGGCGCGCCCCCCCGCCCCTACCTAGCGCGTCCCAGAAGCGCGGCAGCTCGAACGGCTCGCGGCCCTCGCCCGGTTCGCCCTCTGTAAAGGCAGAGAGAGACCTCAGCCAGCGGCCGGCCGGCCCAGCGCCGCCCAGCCCCCGCCCGGCCCCGGCCCCGGCCCCCACCTCGGATCCGCGCCAGCACCGCGCGCAGCGCGCCGCGCAGGCCCCGCAGCGGCTCCCGCGCCGCCATGGCTGCGGCAGCCGCCGCCGGCACGCACCGCTCCGGCGCGGCTGCCCAGCGACTGGGCGTCCCATCCGGTTCCGGGCAACGGCAGACCAGACGCTTCCCCGCCTCTTCCGGTAAGCCCGCCCGGTCCTGCGCCCTGCGGCGACAGACCAGACTTCCCGCGGAGCAGCGGTAAACTTTATTAGCTAAAGGGGCGGCAGCGAGCGCCCGAGGAGCCGCTGCAGCGTCCCCGGGCGTGGGGTGGGGGGGAGGGGAGGGCGGTAAGAAACGGGGCGGACGCCCCTCTACAGCAGCTGCTGGAGTTCCTCGAAGTTGAGCAGGTTGTTGGCCGTCTCAGACCAGGCTGCGTGGGTCGCACCGTCCATCTCCGAGGCGAGGCTGTTGGTGCTGTCCAGAGTGTGGTTTGTGCCCCCGATGACTGCACGGCATTCAGGGCACTTACTCCTCTCCATCGCTCCCCCACACTCCCCAATCACATAGATATGCCCATTTCTGCACTTGAACCAGTGGCCACGGGGACAGCCAATAGCACGGACAATCTGCACCCGCTCAGCTTCAGAGATCCCCAGCCGTGACACTGGCAAGGCAGCGCAGAGCCTCTCCAGGTCAGCCTTCACTACAGCCTCATCCTTCTCTGTGAATTTCTTTGTCCCTTCAAGGATCTCACGTGCACTGGCAACCTCCGCTGCAAGTGCTGGGGTGAGCAACCCACTTGCATCTTTGCACCTTGCCAAGAGACTCATCAAATAAGTCAGTCTCTGCATCTCACACTGCAGGTCAGAGAGCTCCTGGCCTGTAAAACTGAGGCGTGGCTTATCCAGCCACTCCTGGACTTCATCCAGCCTCCTTCTCAACATTTTCCTCTCATTCACATCAATTTTGCTCAGAGAATTAGTTAGGTCCGCTACACGTTCATAGAAATTAAGCTGGTTCTCTATTAGTCCGATTGTCCTTGTGGAGAGATCAGAAGCTCTTAGTTTATCTTCTAGCATGAGGAACTTAAGGGGTACATTCCTCTGCAGAACAGCATTCATTGTCAGTGCAGCCTGCAGTCTTTGTCTGCTAGACTCAATTTCCTGTGCTGGGCCTTGGATTTTCTCTTTCACCTTTTCTATCTCATCTAGCCGCCTTTTCACTATGGTGCCATATCTCAAATTCTTTCTGATAGGTGTCTGACAGATTGGGCATACCTTCAGTTTGATGACATCATCGTCTTCATCCATATAATGGTCAAGGCCTTTGGACTCAAAGACATGGCCACAGTCTTCAAGCTGTACAAATCGAGCGTCTGGGTCTTCTTCAAAGCCAAAAAAGATCTGGGTGAGTTCCTCACGGTCACAAACAAGGCATTTCTTTGGACAGGGCTCTCCACACAATCCAATACAGGGATGACCACAGCACAGTAGCTTAGCACATGGTACATTGCAACGAGGCCTATTGCATGGTTCGGAACAAAGATTGGTACACTGGTAGTGCTGGCACCGCCACTCACATGGCTCAGCACATGGAACACAGCGCTCTCCACATTTCTTTTTACACTTACTGTGGATACAGTGGTTCTGACAGTCAAGCTGGCAAGGAGGGCATTCTGTAGTACAAGGCTGCTCACACTTGTGGGAGCAGACCAAGAAGCGCTTGCATGGGCTGTTACATGGTTTATGGAATCTTCCTTCAAAGCAGGTATGACAGGAACCTGAGCATACATGACCACACTCCAGTGTGACAGAACACTCAGTCTTACATTCCACAGGCTTCTCATGTTTCATCTCCTCGGTGATCCAGCATTTAACTTGCTGGTTGTGGCCACATTTCAGCATGACTGTAACCAGTTCAGGACACCGCATAGTGCATTCCTGCCCACAGAATTTATTGCATGTGTGCCCACAGTTCAACTTTTTCTGGCAAGGTTCTTGACAAAGAAACTCGCTGTCTGAAGTAGAGCATGGCACCATCTGCAGGTGGCCACACTTAGAAATAGTTTTCTCCACTATCACCATGCACGGTCCACAGGGCTCATAACATGACCGTGGACAGCGGTGCCCATCTGCACAAAGCACCTTTTGACAAGGCTTCAGACACTGGTATTCTTTGTGCTGTGTATCATATGGGTGACATGCCCTTGTGCAAACATGTCCGCAGCTCAACCTAAATTCACAGGGACGACTACAGCCTCCTTCTGGGACTTTGCTGAAGTCTGCTGCTGTAGATACCAGTGTCTTGGTTTCAGGGTGGTTTTGACAGCAAAGCACCAATGAGCAGCCGATATGACCTTTTTCACGAAGGGTATGAATGATCTTGCTCCAGAGAGGAACCTTGCCAAGCATTCTCATATTTCCAATACAATACAGCCCTTTCTTAGCTCTGGATAATGCTACACATATCCGATTAGGGATCTGTAAGAACCCAGTTTTCTCCTCTTTGTTGCTCCGCACAAGTGACAGCAGAATAATGTCATTCTCCTCCCCCTGGTACTTATCTACTACATGAACCTTCACACCTGCAAAGGTCTTGGCTGGCATGAGCTTACGCAGGCAGAAAAGTTGTCCAGTATAAGTAGTGAGAATGGTGATCTGAGAAGGTAGATAATCCTGACACAAGAAGTATTTGCACAGTTCCACTACAAACTGGGCCTCATGTAGGTTCTGGTGGCTCTTCCCTTCCTGGATCTCTTGCTCAGGAAAATCATGTTCCACAAAGAAGAGGTTAGATAAGATCCCCTGAAACAAGAGAAAGGAATATCAAAAACAGAATGCTCGCTTCTGTCAGTACAGCCTGTTTCCATGTCCCCAATTATCCAGTGACACTAAGACTCTTAAGGAGAGGACTACAGTATGCAGTTACTGCATACTTAGGTGATTTCCTCTTAGATTTCCATAGTGTATTCATCAGATAGGAATTTAAGCTTGTTAATTGCATTTCAGCTTATTAGCAACATTTCAGTATCCTGATACGAAATCAGTTCCTGTGGATGATTTTATTCCCTATCTTTACAGAATTGTTTCTACTGCACTTTTTCAGGCTATAGGAAAGAGAAGATTAAGTGCTAGTAACATTTCTCAAAGCAACATAGTTCCATTTCACATTCATGGCAGGAGCAGTATCTTGTTTTGGCCATGTGGGAAAAAAGATAGTAAGTTACCAGTGCACATGAGTTAGCACTTGCTTAAAACTGCATAGCCAAAAACACGTCTTCTCTGGTACTGCAGCAAAAACATGAAGCAGCAAGGAGAACTGCTTTTCCACCATGAAAACTAGAAACACTAGGGACTCCACTAGTTACTTACCAGCTCTAGGGGTGTAGACTTGTCTGCTCACCTGTTCAAAAATTCCATTTGCTTTGAGTTAGCGGGGAGCTTTATTTTTTGCCTATTAACCAGAATTGTTCTACCCTTAAATTCTTGGGCTGCATGCCAAAACTCAGAGACTGTTTTTATCAGGAAAGAACAGTTTTTGTAGATCAAACACATCTCCAATATTTTCCAAGGTGTCCATAGTGGCATAGTGTCCACTGCTGTACAATTTAATTCAGTGATCACCTATGCTGATTACTGTACTAGAGGGGAGGGTTCAATTTTGATGCCGTTTGGTATCTCAGGTTTATTTCAAGGCCAGAGGAAACCATAAGAGTATCCAGAGTAGTTTCTCATAGGAGAAATGGGGTAAAATTTTGTGGTCTTCTAAGTTGTTGTGAATTTGGGGTGAGGTTTTTCTTGTTGGTTCTTTCCTTGTTTGGTCGGGGTTTGGGTTTTTTGTTTGTTTATTTGTTTAACTAAAGCATCTTCTACAAAATACCTGATCTGGATTTCAAGATCTGGATTTTCAAGAGGATCTGCCACTTTCCCAGATAGCTTATTCTAGTAACTAAATCATCTTCAGTAATAATTTTCTTGTCTGACTTCAGCATTCTGCTATAGTTTTCAGTACACCTTCCTCATCCAGTTAAAGATCTTTTAAGTAATTAGTACTGTTTTTTCATGAAGAGAGATCTACATGGACTAAGCTAATATAATCCTCTTTCTGCAATTACCTCCAATTCTTTCTCCCAGGGTATTCACTCACTCGTGTTTCAGAGATTCAAGGCCTAGCTCTAATACAGCATAGCAGTGTAACCTTGGCTCAGACTTCTGGGGAATAGTAAGTTGTGACAGAGAGCTGCAAGCAAGTCTGAAGAACACAGCTATGCAAGATAAGAAAGGTAAAATCAGAGATATTATTGTTAATAGTTCAAAAATGAAAAAAAAAAAAAAGCACAGAGATAGGAAATTCTAATTAGCGTGGGGAAAAAACAAATCAGAAAATAGGGAGTGTTAAGATGGAGACTCAGTAACATTAAAGTAAGATGCAGAGGCTGACACTTCTGACTGATACCTGCCTAAGACTCTTCAAGCGTCATATGGTGCAATATGCATACTAATGCTTATAACTTACTAAATTCTAGCTGTTTATTGTGAGTGTTAGCCAATAAGTAATTGCTTTATACTTTTAAGCTGAACAGCTCTTGTTTGCAGATGTTTTGTATTAGTAAAATGCCCAGAGAACCCAAGGAAGGAGGCAGGGTTCCAGTAATCAAGTCACCTATCTTATGTTGGAGTTTCACATATTATGCTTTAAGTCTTTCATTTAAGATTTCTTCCTAGCTTTCAATCTCCTACAATTGTTTTGGTCCCTCTTCCATTTTTCACTGTTCTTTTGAAGTCATCAGTACTGGATCCATTTCCAGTGTCGATCATTGCTAATGCCAGAAGAACTACAAATTACTTGCCTAATTTTATGTCACACATTTCCTTGATTCAGTTATAAATTTCAATAACTGAGCTTCATCTAAGAATTTGAAATCCTTAAACATTATTTTTTTCAGAAACTCATTTTAGCCAGTAACAAGGGACAAAAGCAATTGCTTGGATTGCTGAAAACTCACTTTTATGTTCTCATACTTCAGGACAGAGGGATGGTTCTCCAGCTCCTGGTATATATGAGGACTGAGAAGCTGGGCAATTTCAGGACGCATGCGGTGCTGAAACACAAAGCAGCTTCATCAGTCTTGAGGAAGGAGCACAACATTTCCCTGTCAATACTCCGTTGTTACACTGTACAGACTGTGGCTAAATACAAGACAAAGATGACTTTCCTGTAGTAGTCAAGAAGGGAGTACCTCCCAATCCCCACCCTCTCATGCCCCATCGCTGCCACCACCAGCAATTATAGGGAGCGTAGAAGCACAGCCTCTTCAAGAAAATTATTTGACATGGTGGTTGTAATAAGAATGCTGGTTTCAGTGCAAATCCAAGAACGCTGTTCTAGATAACAAAAGCCAGCACCTCACCCTAACCACTACATGAGGTCTTCTAGGTAGTTTTAATACAGGACTGCTGGAGGTAGATTTAACTTCTCCAGGCATCAAGATAAATGATTATAGCAATTCAGCAGAAAGCAGCCTGAGAAGACATGTGCTGTCAGTCTCCAGAGTTCTGGAAGTTTCAGACATCGCAATAAGCCATGTTCATTGCACTAAAACACGGAGGACCCACAGTTCTGCAGATGACATCACTGAATAACTGGAAATATACTGGAACACTGTGGCAGTTTGACAGCTCTTATCCTTCTTCTCAGGAATTAAATAGCACATTCTTTTAAGCTGCACTGAGAGTAGAAATATAAATTTAAGTATACTACAAGCTTAAGACACCTAAATGCAAATGCAATGGATTTTTTTATAGCTCTTCCTCACTTGGTATTTCAGACGGACAAAGGGGAAATTGATTTTCACCAGCCGTTCAAAGAGTGACACTTCCAGATTGAAGTTCTTGGCCAGGTCATATACATTTGCACTAGGCCGCAGCTGAAAGAAAAGGGATAGGAGGTCCATGTTTTAGCACTTTTTCTATGTATTTGTAAGATTTTTTTATTCATCAGTTTTTCTGTCACTGGTTCCCCATAGAAAGGCCAGAGATTGGATTCTTGCAGAAGTGATAATTATCAAAGTTAGAAATTATCACAATTGAAATGGATGCAAGCACATGCAAAATTGTTTCAGTTAAACTAAAAGACAAGTCCCACAGGAGCTCTACTCCAAAACTACAGGAGACGAGACCTGTGATATTTGTGGAAGCTGGGGAGCAATATGTCTTGGCAACCTTTCACATACGGTGTTCGGTTAAAGAGGTTCTAGTTCATTTGCACAAGTTAGAGGCGTCGGTCATGGATGTTACCTGCTGATGATCTCCAATGAGGATGAGATGCTGGCAGGCTTTACTCAGAGTAGTAATGGTGTGAGCCTCAAGCACCTCTGCTGCCTCTTCTACAATGACAATTCGCGGCTCTACTTTTTGCAAGATCTGACGGTATTTGGCAGCACCTGAGCAAGGAGCGAAGACAAACCTTAGGAGAATATAATTACATGCAGGCAGTAGAACAAACGTTTTTGTAGAGGGGAGTAGGCTGTGTCCAGAAAAGACCGGGGCTCTTCCCAAGATTCCCCATTTCAAGAATCAGCTTTTTGGTCATTAAAAGAGCACCATACCAAGGACGGCTTCTGTGTGACAAGTTATAAGGGGATAGCAGGTAGGGATTTGAGTCCTATGCCTGCCTTGGCCATTTCCTGATGCTGTCTTCAGACATAAGATATCTACTCAATACATTGATCAACACATATAAATAAACCTACAGTTGTCTCTCCAAAGGATCATATTACAATGACCTTTACACTACAATCACCAGAAGGTGATGTGGGGATAGCAGTGCAGATATTAGCTGTGCTTTACTCAGGCACAAGTGAAGCGTTTCTATTAGAAGAATGCTGCTCAAAATGGAAAGAGTACAAGTGTGCACAGAAACTGCTCATGCAGTTAATTGACAACAACTCACACGATAGCCACATTTTCAAAGGGAATTGGAGATTAAGAAGGTTACAGACTAATGCAGAGCCTGACCCAGGCTGTCAAGCAGCACATGATACTAATCTTTTGACATGTTCCTTTAACCATTACTTGATGCAGTGCAATACTGGTTTGCTTCCCAACTGCTGTGTACCTGTAGTTGTCATCCCCACAAGTTGGGCTTCCTTGAGAATGCAGAGATCTTCCTGCAGCCTCAGTTCTGTCAGCCTTTCTGCTGCTGCCTGGTACTGCTGTTCACTCTGCAGAATCCTCCGTCGAATAAAACCCTGGTAGGTCTGCAGCCAAAGCCTAAGAAGAAAGCGCCATTATCACACACAGCGAACAAAACAGCATAGTGATCCAAAAGTTCTGAGTGGATTCAGTTCAAAACTTCTACTGTGTCTTTTGGGCAAGAGCTTATTAGCATCTGTACAACACACACAGCGGAGATGACAGCACTACCTGTGCAGTGCAGGGAAGCTAAGAACAAGGATGTTCAAATAAAGTGCTGAATAGATATGGATAGAAACACTGTGGCTTGACAGAAAGAGTTTGCAAACTGGAACAGTTCTAGGAAACATTTGCCTGGTGGACCCTGCAAAATAGCTCCGTCACCTGTAAAGCTTCCAGCGGGAGTTCAGGTCAAGTTGCCATAGATCTTGAATAGCCTTGGCCTCTAACTCTGTCATTGCACTCAGTTTACGGAGCTCAACCTTCATCTTCTGTTTCATTTTTTTCCTCTGGGCAGAAGTTACCTGCAGGAAAAAAAAGCTACCCAATAAGCAGTTAAAGCACAAAGATTCTTCTGTATTGGCATTTCCGTGTTTTTTTTTTTACACAGTCAAGCAGAGCTAGAGCTTGCTAATGCATGCAGTTACCTCCCACTGCATAGTCTTCTGTTGTGGTTGAACTGTTCCTTCTTCCTGGTCCTCCAGCTTCATAGCCAACAGCACACTGGCTAATTCATGAACAGCTCTGTGCTCTTCCTCCTTCCTTCCCTGTGGCTTTGCTGCCTCTTCATCCTCAATCACTCTGTCAGCTTGAATCAGGTCAGCCTCCTCTGGGATCTCCAAAAGCTCCTCTTCTGCTTCACCATCCCAATCCTCCTCTCTCTCCTGCTGACCACCTGTGAGAGTCACCAGTAAGCCACAGCCACTCCAGCAGAATCACAGTGCAGCAGTCAGATGACTATGTGGAAATTAAGGTTAATCTTTCCACTACCTTACAGTATCATGCACCTTTCAGTGTCTGTTAAACAGCAGTGTCTCTTTTCTGGCACACATTCACTGCTTAGGCAAACATACCTGTAGTGGATGGGGGGGAGGGGGAGGTATCTGTTGGTTGCTTGCTTGCTTTTTTTTACCTGGATTCTCAACCCCTACATCCTCCGCAGTATTCTGGATGAAGACAGTTACACCAAGTCCCAGCCACTCCAGAATCACTGAGTGTTGTGAAGCACTGTAGTAAAACTCCTCATCGTCCTAATATAAGGAAAGTCAAATCAGCCAGGCCTATTGCACTTCAGAGCCTTAGGATGATGCTAAAGCAGTGCATTGCAGCAGCAAGCAACTAGGACAAGTCCCCTGAGAAACCTCTAGAGCTACAAAGTCTAAGCAGCCTCAGATCTTCAGAAAGAGCATCCCTCCCCCTCTTCAGAGGTTTTCATCCAGGCACTTGTATTTTCATGCTGGTAAAGATCACTTAGAATCTCCGCAGTTTAAAATAGCAAAATTTAAAGCCCCTGCCCGCCCCAGCCAGTACAGACTACTGTCACTTGGCACAGCTGGCTATTCACTCCCTCACTTTCCTGGTAGCCAAGTGATGCTAAAAAGAACTGTGCTTGGGGAACCTCAGACTCATTAGCAGAAAGAGTAGTAAGCACACACTGGGACTGCTCGACTCAGAAGAAAGGGACCTCTCTTACCAGACCATTCATCAGACTGTTCCAGTGCTGGGGTGCGATGCATGCTTCCAAGTGGCGCTCATGTAGAACTCCATATGTTGTGCACTCTAAGTGCTTCGCTCCTTCATGGAGCTTCTGCTCTGCCTGTTTCATCTCACTGATTATCTACTCATAACAAAGAGAAGAGAGGTAGCATCATACTCAGAGAAACAAAGGTTAGAAACAGCAGGACAAGAAACTGATTAAGTGAACAAGGATAGAAGAATTAAGAGGCTGACTTCAGTATAAGGTGAAAGAACAGGCATGAAGGAAGTTTAGTTAGCTCCAGTGCACAGGCAGCCCAGTCCCATCATCTCCCCTGAAGTCTACACGTACATTCATATAGGCTCTGCGGAGATGCATTGGCAAATTGTATCGGAATTCACACTTCTTCCTCAGCTCCCTCAAGGTGAATTGCTTCAGGACCTCACTGCTACTTCTGCCCCCAACACGCACCATCCCGTGTTTTTGGAATGCATATATTCCTAAGAATGAGAGAGAAATATTAGTACTAAGGAGGCAAGTGCTCTTTTCTGCAATAGGATGAGGGGCAGAGAGAACACCCTTTGTTTGTAAATGCTACACTGGATTGGTCTGAATGAAGTTTTCTTACAGTGTATCAGTGGGGCTAGTCACTAGAAAAAGCCAAAAGGGCAGGTCATCAAGCCAGAATGTGGGCAGAGTGAGTTATACTATAATTTCTACCTGACCCTCCATCCTTGTACAATACTCTTACCTTCTAAGAACTGATCCAGTGCGTGGTTAGTGTAGCAGACTATAAGGATGGGAGATTTCTGGACAGTGCTTTGCCACACATGCTTATTAGTCAAGAGAGCCTGAACAATCTTCAAACCCACATACGTCTTCCCTGCAAAACAAACTCAGAATTAGAAGGGGGTAATCCACCCCTTACAGAGTGCATTGAAACATAGGAATCATCAAAACTAGATGCAAGACTTCCTTCTAGGCTGCAAATCAGGTCTATGCCAAGAGAGCTGATCCCAGAGGTAACTAGTTTACAAAATGTAAACAAAGTAGCGTGACACTGTCTTTCTGGCCTGTAGTTGGCCAAAGCCATGCTCTGCAAGAATGTCATCTTTTGGTTAATACACTGGACCTGGACCCAGGGTTTCCTCCGCCACTGCATCCCCCATCCCACTCTGATACTGGCTTCAATACATGACATTTGGCCGCCCATGAAACATCCACATACTAGTAGAATACAAGCAGTGGTGCTTGCTGAGTTCAGGTACCATTTAAAACAATTACAGTCAATCTTGCAACACTTATTCACAGAGAGGATTATGGCTGAATGCTCCCAACATTCTAACATGCTATGAAGACAAGCAGAACTGTTATACAGCAAGAGGTACCATTTTTTTTACCCTAATACACAAGCAGAGCCAACAGTGCAGTTGGTGTCTACTTGCAACTAGGCTAGCAATGCATAAGATCAGATATAGGTATTTGAGGATATTTTAACCTTCTCCACAGCTCATGCTAACTGGGCTATTCAGGCATCAATTAGGCATGAGGCTAAAGCTTTGGAGACAGTATAGCTGGCTTTCTCTGAAGTTAATCTCCCTAAACGGGGGGAATCAAGAATTGACACACTAAATGACAGACTTAAAACAAATGTTTCTCACCAGTCCCAGGAGGTCCTTGGATAACAGCCAGCTCCTTCGTGAGTGCAAGACTCAATGCCTGCATCTGAGACTCATCTAATCTCAAAGTTTCCATTGAAAACCACTGCTTGGGATCTAGAACGTGGACACTGTGCCTTCTCAAACCATCAGGGTACATCTCTTCATCTGACGAGGGATCTTCCATCAAGGGTGCAAAGTTGTATGCAGTATCCACTGTCAGGTATGTTGGCTTCTTCACCTGCACATCACATTCCACAATGTACTTCTGGAATGGGATATCTTCTTCCTGCATTTCCTGCAACCCTTCTAACACATGCCGATAGGCCTCAAAGTAGGCAGTTGTCTCTACCATGAGGAAGGAGTCTGAGGGCTGAACCTCTGCCAGCAGTGCCTGGCTCTGTGCATTAAAACATAGCTGCACAACCCCATGGGCAAGATCTACATTATCACGATTAGAAACGGTGGCAAAAAGGCATGTTTCAAAGTGATCTTTGGACATGCAGATCAGGGATCCGTATAGCAACCGTCTGGAATTCTGCCATCGTACAAACTTCAGTGGTTTTATGTCAAACTGGACCTTGTAAACAATACCAGTTGGGGAACAGAGAGGGGTAATAATCCGCGTGTCAAAGTAGATTCTGATATCATTAAATTTTTTCTTTCTCAAACCTTTGTCCTCAAAGCTCTGCAAAAGTTCCAAGATACCTTCCCTTAAAGGCCTCATAAAGTCTTCTCTCAAAAGCCGGAAATGAGTGTCAAGATAAATGTTAGTGCTCTCATATCTTCCCGAAACAATATTTGGACGTAGAAAGGGTTTCTTCTCATGGTGTACCTCATTATATGTTGGATAAATGGTCATTGTGCGATACGTTTCTTCTTGATTATCAGCCTGAGGCTTCATAAGGATATAGTTATCAGCCCTCAGTGTGCCTTCACGTCTCTTCTCCTGCAGGTGCTGCACAAGCATCTGGACTTTGTTTAGATTCTTCTCTGTTTCTTCTGTGATGTCCACACCAGAAGCTCTCAGGGCATTTATGGCTGCTGGCAAGACTGTCAAGAGAATGGAAATTTTCTGCACAGAGCTGGCTGGGAAAACACTGATCAGATCCTGAAGAAGTGAAATGATGTTGCTAATATGCACAGGATACTGATGACGTGCAGCAGGGACTGCTTCCATCATCATGTCAGACACATACTGTGGCAGACAGATCTTGAGAAAATTGGATTCCTTTACCACTCCAAGAAGCTGTTGGACACTCTGTCTATCCATTCGGGAACTACATGCTTTTTTAAGCACCTGGCAAATGAGCTGAAGGAAACTAGGTTTCATAGCTGTTTGAGAAAGAAGTTCTTTCAAACCCAAACTAGAAGCAAGTGTGATGACAACTTCTGAAGGGTCTTTCTGGAGGAGAGTTTCTAGGAACTTATAGCCAATTCTTTTGACTTGCTGAGGCTGCTCACTGAGCTGGGCACCACCTGGGGTAGAGTTCCAGTAGAAATTTGGATTCTCCTGAGGTTGCATCCTCCTTCCCCTACCTTCATTTTCCTGCCCGTTCCTCAGCCCTCTGGCTCCTTCCTGGGCTTGCCCACCTTGATACCTCCTTCCCCTAGTTTCATTTTCTTGCTCATTCCAGGGTCCCCTAGCCCTCTCATGTGCTTGCCCACCTTGATACCTCCTTCCCCCACCTTCATTTTCTTGCTCATTCCAGGGTCCTCTGGCCTTCTCATGTGCTTGTCCACCTTGATATCTCCTTCCCCTACCTTCATTTTCTTGATCGTTCCAGGGTCCTCTGGCCTTCTCATGTGCTTGCCCACCTTGATACCTCCTTCCCCCACCTTCATTTTCTTGCTCATTCCAGGGTCCTCTGGCCTTCTCATGTGCTTGTCCACCTTGATATCTCCTTCCCCTACCTTCATTTTCTTGCTCGTTCCAGGGTCCTCTGGCCTTCTCATGTGCTTGTCCACCTTGAAACCTCCTTCCCCTACCTTCATTTTCTTGCTCATTCCAGGATCCTGTGGCCCTCTCATGTGCTTGTCCACCTTGATGCTTCATTCTTCTTCCCTCATTCTCCTGTTCATTCCAGAAGCCTGTGGCTCCACTGTTGGCCTGTCCACCTTGGCTTCTTGGTTTATTCTTGCTCGATTGAGAAACCCTCCAACTACCAATTCTCTCATCTCTTTGCCCAGGTAGAAGAGTATAATTACTGGCTTGGGGGCTTGCCCCTAACTGAGCTGCTTGGCCTGACACATTATTTGTTCTGTTTCTGCTTCTTCGTATAAAGCCAGTATCCCAATGATCTGCATTCCCTAAAAAAAAAAAAATAAATAAAGGACACTCCTTAATTATAAGTCAACCACATTAACCTGCCTTCTCACAAAAATGCATGAGCATTTTGGCCTGATAGTTGGCGTACTTTGGATGTTTGGCATGAAGTTAGAAAGATACCACTCTATTTGCACTCAGACTTTCAAATTGGTGTTTCTTTTTTACCCGAGACTGCCATGCCTAGAGTTCACTTAAGCTGCTACGCCATGAAGACACTAAAAAACTAAACCCTTTTCCACAGAAGAAAAAGCAGAATTAAGGAAGACCAAAGATTAAGTTTCCTGCGCAGGACAGGATTTCCTCAGGAGTTAGCTGTCATTGAAATAATGACAAAGGCAGCAGCCCGACTGACTGTATATAGCACAATTAAAACACAGAACTTCAGGACAAAGCCAGGCTTCTCAGAGTAGCAGGAAACATATACCAGATAGCCTTTGTCACGCTCTCAACAGAATACTTAGGGAAGCACTGAGTACTAGCAGAAACAGTTAGCAAAGAGATTGCTGCAGTGCATCACCACCTCATGGCCCCAACCAGACTCCAGGGACAAATAAGGAAATGCTGAAATTTAGGCTTCAAAGGAAATTTCACTACACGCAGTCTGAGAAGCCTCCCCTGTACCTGCATCATCCCCCATGCATTTCACAGCTTTCTGCCCTGTGTTCACTAGGCGACCCTCACCTCTCCCTCCAGCTCGAGGCTGCCGGGAGCAAGGCTCCTGCCCGGCACCATCCATCGCTGGGCCCGGTGACTCCTCTGCGGGGCGTCGCAGCTCTCCGGGGCGATGGCACCGTTCTGTGCTGGGGGCTGCACCGCTCCTGCGCCCGAACACAGGCGCCCTCTCAGCGTTCAGTGTCAGCGACCCGGCGGCACTGCTCTCCCCGGACGGGCCGGGAGCCGCTGGACCCGCCCCGCCACCGACGAAAGTTTCACTTTCCAGTTCCCTGCAAAGCCCGCCCCCGCGGCCAGCGCCCCCCCACCCTCCCCCGGCCCCGCTCCGGGCCCCCGCGGCCAGCGCCCCCCCACCCTCCCCCGGCCCCGCTCCGGGCCCCTGCGGCCAGCGCCCCCCCACCCTCCCCCGGCCCCGCTCCGGGCCCCCGCGGCCAGCGCCCCCCCACCCTCCCCCGGCCCCGCTCCGGGCCCCTGCGGCCAGCGCCCCCCCACCCTCCCCCGGCCCCGCTCCGGGCCCCAGCGCCCCCCCCCCCCCCACCCCCGCCCGCCCGCCCGCCAGCGGCCAGCGCCCCACCCCCCCACCCCACCCCACCCCACCCCCCCCCCCCCCCGCCCGCCCGCCAGCGGCCAGCGCCCCCCCGCCCTCCCCCGGCCCCGCTCCGGGCCCCAGCGGCCAGCGCCCCCCCCCGGTCCCGGTCCCGGTCCCGGCCAGCGCCCCCCGGCCCCGGTCGTTACCGGAGCCTCTCTTCCTTCCTCCGGTACCAGCCGCCCCCCGGCGGAAGAGCAGCCAGCACGGTACTACCGCTGAGCGGCCACCCAGCGCCGCCGCTTTCGGTTTCATTTCCGCCCGGCGGGGCGGGGGCGGCCATCACCCCGCCCACAGGCGTGGCCCGCGGCCGGCCCCGCCCGTGTACGGCCGCTGGCTCACGTGGTTGGCGCGCGGATCCGGGGCGGGGCTGTGGGGCTGCGGCCATGCTGCAGAGCTTGGGCCTGGTGGGCACTATCGCAGAGGGGGACGTGGGGCCAGAGGATGTCGAGTCTGGGAGTTCCGAGGATGAGGAGGTGGGTTGGGCTCGATCTATGGTCCGGGTCGTGGGCGGGCCGGGCCGGACTGGTGCAGGGGCCGGGCCCAGTTGGATCGGGCCGGGGCCGGCCTAGGTCGCATTGGACCGCGCCGAGCTGGGGCCGAGGTTGGTGCGGTCGATTCGACCGCCCCGTGGTCGTTGTTCATTGGTGTCACGACAGGAGCTGCGCCGGGCGCCGGGCCCCAGGCGGCGGGGCCCCGCAGGCGGGGACTTCAGTGCCGCTTTCGTCTTCGGCGAGGCAGAGGCCAGCGGGGAAGGCGCCTGGGCGGCGGCGCTGCGCCAGCTCCGTGGCAAGGTGAGGGCTGGGGCCGGGACTGGGGCTGCAGTGCCTGAGGCCGTAGTGCTCCACGCTTTCCCGGGCTCTTGTTACAGCTCCTCTGTTGTGATTTCCTGTCTAGAGAGCAGCGACGACGCTGGATGAGAAGATTGAGAAAGTGAGACAGAAAAGGAAGTTCCAGGTCAGGACCTTTCTCTCATTACTGTAAAGACTAGTATGGGTTTGGCCTCTTGGCCACCTACTGTGTTCCCTCCAGAGATACAGACTCTATAAGCATCCTGAGGTGCAATGCTCAAGCTGCAGCTCATCACCTTGACTGGGTTTGCAGTCACACCCGATACATTGCTGAACTGTTGGGATTGAAGTTTCTTTTTTATTCTTTCTTTTTAAAACTTTTTTTTTTTAAATCTTTTTCTAGGAAAGAGAAGCTAAACAAGCACGAGTGAGAGATGAAGATGTGGAGACTGAGGATAATCAAAGAAAAAAGAGAGAGTGTGAAGATTTCAATAGGGATGAAGAAGATGTGGAGTCTCAGTATTCGTTCAGTGATGAAACTATCTTCACAAAAGCAGGTATTAGCAGTACATAGATGGTCAGGAGCAAGAATCTGACAGACTGTTGACTTGCTGGAGAAAAGTCTGTAGTGAAACATTGCTGGAAGTGGACAAGAATCTCTTAATTTTTGTTGTCTTCCTTCTGCAACATTCCTTCTGATTTTGATCAGGCTTATTTTGAATGGTAGCCATAGTA